CTGAGAGCTGGAATGACTCTTCCATCCAGTTTTACTTCAAAATCCTGGATTATATATTATCCAAATTTAACAGTTTCAATCTCGTCCCGTAAAAGAAGGAACCGGAAATAATATCTGATGATGACATGAACTAATGTAATCAAAGTGAAATCTCGAATGACTGCCAACACTGCGCCAAGAATTAAAAAAAAAAAAAAAAAAAAAAAAAAAAAAAAAATTGAGATAACCAATAATAACCGTTGAAATCAATCCCAGAAAATGTGTGAGTAAATAATTAATTGAATTAATTCTATCATGACAGACGGCTTTGACAATCCATATGAGGCGTAAGGATGCAAATAACAAACCCTTCAGGACAATATGAAGAGAGCACCTCAGAAATATGTATGCCGCTAATGACCATACCTATTGGCGCGGCAGGCGTTTTAAATGATTAATCAGTCTTGGCCAGCCTCCTTATAATCCAATGATGTATGTCATGCAATCGTGACGTAGAGGGAATGGTTATTTATTTGGTTAAAAGCAAAACATTTTCTCCATATATAAGTTTGGAAATAATTATAAAACCGCATTTGGAATAGTGACTTCCTTTTACATGAAAACGAGTGTTGATTTTTTTTCCAAATGAATATATGTATGATTAACTTTTGGAGGGCAGACATTTTCCTTGTTGTTTGGCTTGCTCGAGCGTCTCATTATTCATGTTTTGGTGTTTTTTCCCCAGATAATGTAAAATGGCATTCCTCTCTTGCCCTTTCTACCTCTTACCACTTAAAACACTGACAGTTCGCACGCAATGATTAGGTGGAAACTTCTCTTCTGTTAACCTTCATGTCTCTGGGGGTGTGCAGCGCAAGATCAGCTGGTTGCGACTGTGATATTCAATGAGATTTGTTCTGAGTCAGTTCTGAAATCTTACAGTATGAATGTGAAATCTTACAGTACGAATATGAAATCCTTATAGAATAGATCATGATACTACGAAACACGAAATTGAGTACATTTTAGGTTTATGTTAATCTAGCCCAATCACCCCATTTGGCATTTATTATTGCCATAATTTGTAGATGCCAAAACCTGTAAAGACTGACTACAAAATGCCTGGTTATTGTTTTTTGCTCGTAGATGTCAATTACAATGATTGCTTGATAATTCAGACATAATTATAACGTATAATTAAGTAGTTGGTTTATATTGGATTACGTAGATGTGCCGTAATTTTTGAGCATCGAAATGATATTAGATTCGCTTCTGTTTGTTATTTTTCTTCGTTTTGCAAATGTCAGACGAAAAAAAAATAAAGTCCACAGATTGAGCGCTTACATAGGAATAAAACTACTTCTAAGCATCGAAATAGTGTGAGAGATTCGCTCTTATATTTATTTTCCTTTTCTTTACAAGAGAAAAAAAGTAAATAAATGTCTGGATCTTGACGTATCATATAGAAACAACACTATTTATGAGCATGAAAATTGCATTAGGATTGCAATTGCGTGTCCAGTATTCATTCTTTAGTATGTTTAAGACAAGCAGAAAAAACACGGTCTGTGCGTTGACCTCACTTAAAAAATTAACTCTAATTTTAAGTATCAAATTGTTTTTGTTATGATTTAATATGGAAGGACTCAGTGTATCTTTTGACTACATTATATTATTAGTATTATTTTCATCAGGTCAGTTTCATAGTTTTAGTTAGTATTTTGATTTCGCTATTGTGCGTACATTTTTTTTACTGTAGCATTGTCACTATATTCTCATCATATCATATAACATATCGTGAATGCTCGTTTTCCCAAATATACTGCATTATAACGACATATATATTGTTATTATTATTATAACGACATATATATATATATATATATACATATATATATGTGTATGTATATTATATATATATATATAATATATATATATAATATATATATATATATATATATATATATATATATATATATATATATATATATATACATAATACATATATATATATATATATATATATATATATATATATATATATATATATATATATATATATATATATATATATATATATATATATATATATATATATATATATATATATATATATATATACTATATATATATATATATATATAATATATATATATATATATATATATATATATATATATATATATATGTATATATGTACTATGTATCACACATATATATATATATATATAATATATATATATATAATATTATTATATATATATATATATAATATGTATATGTACTATATATTTCTCTCTCTCTCTCTCTCTCTCTCTCTCTCTCCTCTCTCTCTCTCTCTCTCTCTCTCTCTCTCTCTCTCTCTCTCTCTCTCTCTCTCTCTCTCTTCGTTTTCTGTTTTGGAAAGCTTGGAAATTTTTCCTTATCAAAGTTCTGAGGTTGAAAAGTGCATTGTATTTTTAAGGGATGGGGTTGAGTTCATTGGGAAGTTTGGCAAGATTTCGAACAAGGTATACAATTT